TGAGAGCGCGACTGGATCATGCCTGTCAATACCTCCAATCATTAACGTGTCCCGTCCTGGGGTCCCCATCCAGGGAGAAGGTAATGACCAACACATATGAGCTTCTCTATAATGGCTCTCATACTTCGCTGCCAAGTCGGCATACGACACATGACGCAGTTTGTACCGTGTGACTAAGACTTCTGTCGTGAGCGTGCTCGATCTGAAGCTGCGACCTTGACATGGTTGTCAGGTGTGAGTACGGGCCGGAACTTCGTTCCACAAGGCACAACCATCCCTATAAGACTAAACGGGGACAATCAGACCAAGGGTGTCAGAACCCGGCAGAACTGACAATGGTATAAGCTATATGAGGAAAATTCGTTCTGTTCTCTGTATTGGGAGCGTAAAGACAATAAGGTGTTTTCCCGAGGCGGCCAGTGTTTCCACATTCATGGAAGCAGCGACAATGCCTTCCCCATAAAATATGGGTTACACTAGGTCCACCCTGAATACTGCACTCTCCGATCGCTCAACGGTTGACCGTGATCGCCACTGAGTTATCGAATACGTTCAAATAGCAAATAAACCTTGCCATGATCTCAGTGAGTCTCCCAACGCATCTTCTGTGCGTGACAGAACCAGCGGCGGGACATCTATGTTATTCCCTACACCATGTCATTCCTCTTGCTGCCGAGGTCAGGTTATTGAATCGGGAAAAACCGTCCAGCTGTAGCACCCTTTCGGTGCCTAACTGCCATGCCACCCGAAGCTTGCACGAGGGCTAGGATACTGCCAGGTTGCCCAAGCCTAGACAGGGGAAGTCGAGAGGCAGAGGTCGGGTTCGAACCACTGGCCTTCCGGTCAGTAAATTCGCGCTCTAACCACTTGAGCGATCTCGCCCCTAACTGATATCCTTTTGGTTACTACGTGCACTGCTAGCACCCTTTATGAGAATATGTGCTATTATCGTCTCAGATAAGTTTGATTGCAAGGCCTGTTTCTCCCATAGGCTTAACTGATACTGACTGAGGAATTAACCGGCATCCTTGAAGACAGCAGGTTGAAGGACGTCAGGACCAGGGGGAAAATATATCCCCCGGACACCTATGAGGTTGAAGGGGGCTCCTAATTCACAGTCCACCATTCTGTTGAAGACGGGCAATCCGGACTGCAGGTAGTAAGTGGGATCGAGGTGGCTCAAGTGGTTAGAGCGCAAATTTACTGACCGGAAGGTCCGTGGTTCGAACCCCACCTCTGCCATTCGACTTCCCGTGTCTAAACTTGGACAACCTGACAGTATCCCAGCCCTCCTGCCTCCTTCGGGTGGCATGGCAGCTAGGCACCGAAAGGGTGCTACAGCTGAACGATTATTATATTATTATTATTTAAGTGGCCAAATGGATTGTTGCTGGAAGTCTTGTATCCAACGCTCCAAACGTTTTCCTTTGATGGAAATCAGACAGCTATTTTTATCCCTGATGGCTTCGCTGACAAGAGGATTACGAGGGCTTGTCCACGGATCAAGCGGGACAATCTTCAAAATTTTGCAGCATTTTTCGCACTTTTCGGTCTTTCGGGTCCACTAAGCTTCCCGGGCCGTGCAGACGTTCAGTTTCACCTAACGTCGAGTTGGGTTGCAGCCAGGAGGAATCTATCACTTGGCCTCCAGCAAAGCTACGATCCTATCAGAGACTCAATTTTAGGGTAAGGTTGGCTGTATTGTGCCGCAAACATATGTTTCGGTCTTGCATACCTGTTCACAGTGGCCATTAATGCAACACAATATAATACCGGCAGGCACCCGAGGAGCTTGTTCTGATAGGCTCATTTGATTTCCTGTTGTACTACTTGCCTCGGTGTGTGAACATCGAAGGCTGCTATATAGACTGGCTTTCAAGTGTTTGAAAATAGATTTCGAGGCGTCTCTGAAGTGGGATGTGCAGAAGCTACAGCTGAGTGTGATACATGGCGAACAAACCGATGGGTCCTACTGCTGGGACCTGGGGAGAGTATTCAGATTAGGGTGGGGTAGGGTAGAAGAGGAAATACATGAATGTTTAAGTAGGGAGGCGTCAGCAGTAGCATGATTTCGCTTGCCCGCCTTGCTGTGTGCAGCAAGTAAGGCAACGCGGCTGGTAATGCTACGGAACGGATGACGTGGCATGAGTTGTTTCACCCGTAGGAATCATGGTGTACGTGGGATAGGGAACTGCCAGCGTTCTTAGACCTGGGCAAGAGGACGGTTGTGGTCCACAACCCAAGCCTTTGGCTCAGAAGCCTGGCCAAAAGCCAGTTGGGTTTGAAGAGGAATACCAGCGCCATACCATTTTTGAAAGCATGTAGCCACGCATGCTCCAACCCCCAAACTGGACGTCCAGGAGAATGTGTTCTTCATGGTGGTTCAGTTGCGTCACCTTTCTGATGCCTAGCTGCCATTCCACCTAAAGGTAGCACGAGGGCTCAATTACTGCCAGATTGCCGAGACCCAAACAGAACCAGTCAAGATGTATTGGTATGGTTCGAACCACGGAACTTCAGGACACAAAGCTCTCGCCCTAACCACCTCGAACTCTTGGTCAGCTCTCTAACCATTGACCAACCTGGTATGGAAGACCGAGTGTCTTACGGACACCCCATGATAGCTCAGTAGGTCATGAAGGCACGCAAACCGTCGTATCATGGTAGGGTACAGTTTCTACGTGACGGAATATCTGAAAAGTAGTGCTGAAGTAAGTCTCATGGTTTTCAGAAGAAATAGCTCAGCCATGGTCACTGATCACACCGTACACTAACTGTGTCAAATGCTCCGTATGCCGGTCGATCGATTTCCTCAAACGGCATTTTCGCCCTATCACGCGAAGGGTGGACATATGCTAGAGGAGGTCAAGCAATGACTTAGCAGCGAAGTATGGAAGCTGCTATAAGGAAGCTCAGATGTGCTGGCCATTGCCTTCTCCCTGATGGGGACCCCCAGGACGGGACACGTTAATGATTGGAGGTATTGACAGGCATGATCCAGTCGCGCTCTCATGCACTCAAGGTGTGACCTTCAATACATAGCCTCCTTCCCCGATCTCCGTAATGAAAGGTCCACTGACTCCCGCATTCACGCATCAATTTTATCAGCTATCGACTCCAGTGCGTAGCAATCCAACACAACCTCCCCAGATCATCGGCGAGCAAAACGGTATCAGCTATAGCCCCTATACCATATGTTTGAGGTTTTTATTGCAGAGGGTGATGACGTTACCGAACACCCCAAGGTTTACCTATAACATGCCGTACATACAACCCTAGAGGAAGAAGACTCTAGTAAAAGGTGGAAGGAAACGGGAGAACTGGGGAATTATTGCCAAAATCCTTATGTCTCTAGAGAGAGGAGCTAAGAATGATGTGCCTACACCATTCAAAACCACTGAATAAACACATCTGAGCATCATTTTGGAGCGAGACTGTGTAAGTGGCATTGACCCAACATCTTTTGTGAACCCCGCCCAACACAAGTTCAGCAAGCGATAGATAGGTGGTCCGTCTGTGAATTGACGGCAATCTCACCACTGAGGTCATTTGAATGGTTTCCTGTAGGGCTTCCAACCACGCTCAAGGAGAATTACACGGACACTTACCAGAGAAGGCGCTAAGTTCTCACCGCACCAAACTTGACAGCTGTGGTTTTCATTTTGTGTTACTACGTCATACCTGTCTTCCGCGAACTTTTTTCCAGTAGGTGTTCGGAGCGGGCAACACGGCTTTCTTTGCTATATGGTGATTGGTCATACGTAATACATGCCACAAACACCATAACGCGATAAGACTTATCTGCTGCTTGAGAGAATCCGGTTCAGTATCCGGTACTCCCTTGAGAACTGGGTTGTCATGTACTAGTTACAACCTGTTGACACCAACAGAGACATCATTGGTCAAACACTTGAAACCTTTGAAGTTTTGTGGTCAGAAGGACTAAGCTCCACATGCATAGTGTAGGATTGCTCCCACGGTGGTCTCGTAGACACGACCCATTGACCTCAGTAATATTCGGTTCTGAAGCCTAAGTTTATTATAGTCAGGGCTGCTTACACTGGCTTCATTTGTCACATTGCAGCCACAGCTTATACAACCGCCAAGATATTTAACCCTACCAACAAACTTAAGTTCCTGATCCTAATGTTTCGTAGGGTTGTATGAGAACAACAATTCCCGAAGTAAGACCCTATGCAACATTCGTTTAGAGTAATTTGTGAACGAATGATCGTCAACTAACAGAAGGTCATCCGCATTACATGCGTATACGCATCTTTCTCTAAGTGTGATTTCGACATCCAAACTTGGAGTTGGAGAGTACAGTCCGTGATTGTGTCAAGAGTGAACAATAGTGAGAGAGGGAACATCCCTGGAAAACCCAACTAGTTGTGGATGGTACCAGAAGTACGGAAGTTAATAGAACAAAAAATACGCGCAAACTTCGAAGGAGTTCCTCGTTAGCCAATTATATATGGAAGAGCTAATCTATCCACGGAGTCAAAAGCTTCTTTGAAGTTAAGGTAAACTGCCACAGTTGGTTGGTGGTGTGGGTGACGCTGCTCAAACCCTTGACGTGATGTGAAATACCGGCCACGTCCACCTGTCCGTGGTGTCATCTTACTGCAGTGCAGCTTCATTTTTACGGCTGGTCTACTGCTTTCCAATGTATGTGGTAAACTTTTTACTCCCAAGGTTGATTTATCAATTATCATTACCATCACTTTTTATTACTTGGTTCAAGGTCCTCACTTGGGGGACTGTTATAGAACCTCCTTGCCAAATTAGCCGTGATCATTTCGATATGTTCAGTTTATCCCGCTAGTCTGAATAAATGGTTTGGTGGTTGTTTGGGGCGGTACAGTTCTCTAGCCTCTTGTAGCTTTCAATGGTTTTTTCGTTTTCTGAAATCCCGTCCACTTTCCGCTCGACAGTGTGATGTAATAATCGGTATTCTTTCTTTCAGGCACAAATCTAACTGAGGTCACAGTCAGTTTGTAATGACAGCAGATGAGACATCGCTTCAGTCCCTCACGGGTCTTTTGACGGAGTTCTTTTCCAGCTCAATCAAACCAGAGCGCCGTACAGCAATTCAAGAAATCTTACTTGATTTTGAACGGACTCCCTCTGCCTGGCACTCATCACTATATTACTTGTTTTCTAGTTCAGATCAGTACGTCGCTCTCTATTGTCTTGGCGTCGTGGAGGCTGTGGTTCGCAAACGTTGGAGCTTGTTAGATACCGAGCAACAAGCAGAATTGCTTCGCTTGGTTCAATTCTATTTATTTCAGCGGACTACAATCGATAATCCACATTTCTTGATTAAAAAGGCCGCAAAAATTATTGCCTCAATCGCCAGTCTCGACTGGCCGCATGACTATCCCAACTTTTTGGACGACGTGAAGACATTTATTAGTGAAAATCTTAATGTTGGGAACTTCTCCAAAGTTACCATAGGCCTCTTCATCCTGCGTGTCTTTGTAGAACAACTGCTCGATCCTCATGAAGTTGTTACCTATCAGCGAAAACGACAATTACGCGAACTTTTGGTGGCGCAGGCGCATTTCCTTTATGGTCTCCTATTACAAGTAATCTCCAAACTCTGTGGGGAAGATGTGTTAACTGCAACATACACTCTCTTACGCAACCAGACTATAACTCAGCTCGACTCCTCAGTGTCTTCCCTTTGGCATTCCATTTTTCAGTTAGCAGAATCTCTTGTTGTTGATCTCGCTTCGCAGTCTAGTCTCCGATGTTTGACAATCCTTGCCTGGCTCGAGTGCTTTAGTGAGCTACTCAGAGTCTTCCCACTTGATACGGACTATCAAATTGGTATCTACGCAGCTTTGTATGTTTGTTCACTAGTTGGGTCACCAGCGTTCATCCTGGCCTGCACTTCGGAGCAGCCGGTCAGCTCTCAGTCAGCTACTACCGATCCGTCTGTCTTTCTGACGCGCATTGGTCTTTGTGCTCTTTCCTGCATTCAAGAGATTGTTGAACGAAAAGATTTGTCAGTTGAATTGATGTTGAAACAACTTTGGTTTGTATTTCCTATTGTGCAGTCCAATTTAAGCTTGAGGACTGGTGACATGGTACTCCCGTACTGTAACGCTGAGGCGGGTAAGCGATCGGGTGGCGTGAAAGGGTTTTGCCAGGGCCAACTGTGCGAACCGCAAAGTTGCCATAATTCGGTGGACTACACGATGAAGCTGGTCGATATTCTACGGTACTTAATGGCTAATTTTTTCTTCCAAATATCAGACAATGTTTTTTCTCATGGAGCGACGTCTACCTTCGACCCAATGCGTTTTCTAGGACTTCTTCACGACTTTACTTTTGCCTCTTTAGACTTGGATGCTTTTTTGGCTTGTTTACACATGTGGTCATCATACCTTGATTTTGCGCGCATGCGATACCTTCCTCAGGGTGGTGGCGTATCCAGTCTGGCTTTACCGAATGGACTCCGAGCCACTTTTATTGGGTTCGGGCGCACGCTACTCTGTCGGTTATTCTACAGTGATTCCGCCAGATTTCTGGAATCTTTGGATGATGAAGGTTCATATACGTTTGAACAGCTCCCGTCACTTTCTTTTCCTCAGTGTGGCTCCGAGGATCCGTTTTTCATCTTTCTCGATGAACCCGCCCAAGTTGCTCCGGAATCAAATGACTACTCCTCGTTCATACGAGAAAGCTTAACTACCCTCAATATTGCCATCGGCTTAGTACCAGAGGAACTGATGAACTGCGTTTTGGGACGATATTATAACTCCTGGAATGACTACATTTCATTCATTCAGTCATCCGAGCTGCTTTCTTTGAATCGTTTCATTCTTCCCTGTGAAACACCGCAACAGTCAATGCGAACCCACTGGATACTCCGTGACTACGCGACCAGCCTCCAGTTGGTCGGGTTCGTGCTGGAACACCTTCGATTTTTTCCACAGAAGCCTGGCGAGGCGGGAGCCAGTTCAGAATTTCTACAATCCTTAATTTACGGTCTACAAATTGCACAAAGACTGCATGGTTTCTTACCTTCCGTTGAGGACGAACGACTGCGCCTAGACCTAATTGGCGTCCTAGTTCATAATCTACTGACGCTTCAGGCCATCATAGCAGGAAACTACTTGTGTTGTGAGTCCGCTTTGTCAGACGCACAAATTTGTGATAAGTTTATTTTGTCAACCTCTCAGCGGGATTCAATGGTTTCGGAAGTTTTTTCTATCCTTGAACAGTTCATTTTGTCACGGTCGAAACTTTCTTCAATTCAGCTTTGTGCTGCGCGTCTTTTTAATGCATTTTGTGCCTACCCTGTTCTGTATCCCTCCCTTTCAAATGCTCTGGAATCTCCACCACAAGTAAATGAGGCCAACACAAATAAGCGCCAAGCCTTACTTGTCTTCCGGCGTGTTTTTGATTACATCTGTGATACAGACAGACGAACCTCTTTGCCAAGGGATGTTCTTCGTTTTTTGCTGCGGACTTTTATCGGCTACTTTAGCTGTGATCCGAACTCGTTTTCCAATATTCAAGCCTCATCACCTCCAGATGACAAACCCAATTTTTTCCAACAGTTCATAACGTCTGTATTCTTCCCATACCTTAGTCCCACTGAAATGCAACAGCACCCTGAATCACATCTTGTCTATTTGGGTCTTTTGGATGATTCCGTGCGTGAACTCGAGTCATCGGGTGCCAGTAGTCGGCGTGCAATGAATACTGTCCTACAATGTTCAGGTGTATTGGACGCCATTGTGACCTGTACAACGAACGCCTTGGAATTTCCAACAACCAACAAAGACTCTGATTTTATGCGACTAAAATTTTGCACGGCATATTTGACTTTCTTTACTACCTATATACGGACGCTCTCCCAATTCGGTACTACCAAAGCATCGATACCCGAACTGCTGTGTCGTGTCGTTGGATCCCTCGATTCAGCAACTGGCTCTGGCTCCATCCCCATTCCATTAATCGATTGCCTGTTGGATATTTTTCTACAATTGTCACAAAATAGACGGACATTTTCGCTTTTGATTGGTGACCTTCTTGGTTTCTGTCAACGTCGTATCCTGATAGGAATTGGCGCAAATGAATCCGTCCCACCCGAAGGAATAGAAGATTTGACAAGGTCGGTGTGTAATGCTGCTCAGAACAATGGTTCATCAATGGAAAAACTTGTGAAACTGTTCGTCGCCATGTTGATTGATGGCTTTCCCTCCTTTTTCTCTCAGAAACGTGATGACCCCTCGNACTTGTGAAACTGTTCGTCGCCATGTTGATTGATGGCTTTCCCTACTTTTTCACTCAGAAACGTGATGACCCCTCGATCCCGGCAGCTGAACGTTTTCAGTTGAATAATCCTCCAGCATTCCACCTTCTAATGAGCATTGTTATCGCTATCTTCCATGAAAACCAGCCAAACTCAAGGCTTGTTCGTTTCACCTTAGAACAACTGTATATGGCACACCAACACCGAAAATTGTACGACCTACCGACATTCAAACAACTTTGGCTTCCAGAGCTGTGTCGTTTGTTGTTGGATCACCTTCTACACCAACGGCATGATTCGTGTAGGGATGTCATTGTCAGCAACCTCCATCAGCTCCTATTGTCAGTAGCCACAAACACACAGCACTGTCTACAAAACGGTGTGACTGACAAACGACCTGAATCGCTAGTCCTTCAATTCTTCACATCCTATCTAGATTCTGTCGGTCTTATCAAATCCGATACACGCAATCAGCTTATGGCCAATGTTTCCTCACTGATGCAGTCTACACAAACACCTCAGAGTGGATTCGCAGATTTCGATGCATTTTATCAATCTGTCGAGCAGTTTGTCACTGATCTCCGTTATCATTTGATGCTCACTATGGAAAGCGGAAACGCGGGTGCCATTACGACATCTACCATGCAGTTTGACGTTTAGCGCAGACATGTAAGTTCATTTGAATAGTTTCCCCTTTGAACTTGTTTGTGTCCCCCTATCACCTGCAGGAAAGGCGGAGTAAATTCTTGGGAAACCAATTACATCACTCAAGCGTGAACACGTTCTCCGGTTCAGATGTGATAATTCAGGTGCGTCCAGCTTTTGATGGCGCGAATTCACCGACCGGAAGGTCCATGGTTCGAACTCGACTTCCTCTGTCTAGGCTTGGGCAACCTGACAGTGTCCCAGCCCTCTTGCTTCCTTTGGGTGGCATGGCAGCTAGGCGCCGAAAGGGTGCTACAGCTGAACGATTATTTATTTGATGGTGGAGTAGTGTTTACGCACTTGCCTCGCACGTCCGGAGTTCAGACCCCAGAACGACCAAGGATGTGCACTGCTGATGAGTTCTAATAAGACTGTAACTCGAGTCCACTGCTTCCTCCCTATGGTGAGGACAATATATTAATTTCACCAGGACAGCAGTAGGGCTGTTCAAACGAAAGTGGTGTGTACATAACATTCATTTTTGTTACTTGGTTGTATCAGTTCAGTCCGTCACTGAGCGTGTATCAATGATCTGATGGGCGACGCTTGTCTTTACATTGTTTTCTTATTTAATCTCTCGTGGGTTGCACCCAAGTTTCGCGATCGTTACACACCCCTATCAACTCTGTAGCATTTAGGCATCAATATTTGTTATTGGTGCAATGCTGTCTCCAATGGCGACAGCGCACGATGATCGTTAGCTTGTTCGCTGAGCTGGGCAATTTGATTGCAAATGTTTCATCACCCATCGAGGTGACATCAGTGCGTTATTGGGGAGCGTAGTGGTGCGTAGCGGTGGGTTAATGGTTGTGGCACAGCCACTGATGAAACGTTTGCAATCAAATTGCCCAGCTCAGCGAACAAGCCAACGACTTTACCTGAGCTGCCAACGTTTTCCTCCATAGAAAACATCGTACGATGCATGCGAAGAGGGGGCTTTTATTCTGATTAATTATCGCCCACCTGACCACTGCATCCCAGCGCTGTCAAATTTGATCGTGCTGCCGGACCCTCTGCATACCATTGAGTACTGAGTCTAGGCGGATATCATACATTGCGTCGTGTTCGTCTCTCGATCATATATGAGAGAGAAGTCTAAATCTCTGCGCTCAGGTACCGACTTACACCTCTTGCGCCGTACTAGGGCTTTTCAGCCGAAGCTGATTATCTTGTTTGAGCTGCAAATCTGCGTCTACTGCAATATCCCCGAAGAGAGAAAACCGCGGTAATAAAACCTTCCGACATCTCTCGAGGGTTAGCTTCTTTTTGGAGGGGTTCCGCAATAATCGCCGTTGATGGTTCGCGCTATTATTACTCCTCTAGGTAACAGCGTCTCTCTCATCAACTACTGTACTCAACAGATCACCCTACCATCCTTGAGGCGTTGAGATATTTTAGTTGTTTCAATTTCACAGGCCTTTACCATGAGGAGTTCTTGATCTCGAACTATGAGCACTTTCTTGTTGCCTGGAGTATCTTTTTTTCTGAGGAATCATTCCCATTTCATTAAAATGCACCTGATTTCCCACAAACGAGCGGTCCACCTAAATGGTCATTTGTTTTCGTGTACTTTAACATCAAATACACATCTGGCTACCGACATTGTAAATAAGCTTTGTTTCTATGTTGTTTTAGGTCGTCTAAACATGTTGTTTTGTGATGCAAAAAACTTGAAATAGCGATAAACAATCTCGACACTGCACTGTATAATACTATATTTGCAGCTTACTCTGGAGATAAAAAAAAGATAGGGAGCACCGTCGAATATATATAAATATATAATGAGCGACGTTGCGTTCAGCTGTAGCACCCTTCCGGTGCCTAGCTGCCATGCCACCCGAAGGAAGCACGAGGGCTGGGATACTGCCAGGTTGCCCAAGCCTAGACAGGGGAAGTCGAGTGGCGGAGGTCGGATTCGAACCGCGGACCTTCAGGTTAGTAATCCGCGCTCTAACCACTTCGGCCATCTTACTCTGGAGGCTGCTTACCAAACAATCCACTCCACGTTGTTTGAAAAGTCCATCTTTGCAGTTTTATGTAGACCGTAATATGTAATGGTGCGCTCCACAAATATATTTCAGTGGGAGCGCTGTGCATGAGGGACAACCTTTCACCAGAATCATTAATCTGTTAACTGCGTAGCAGCTAAAGCTTAGGGGCCAGACGCTCCCTGAAACTTAAACTGTTAGTCTGTCGTAATTAGCGTGAATACCTGTGGCAAGCAGTGGTATTTAAAGCTAACTTGACACTCTCTAAATGCAGTTTTGGACGCAGTACACTGCAGTCCGCTAGATCTCATGTCGGTTAATATTGATTCACTGTGCCACAAGCCTTGTCGTGGACTTTCCTTCAGCTGTCTTTTTTCAAAATCTAATTGTCGGGATCAGGATGTCTTTGTTTACGTCGGCAAAAACATAAAGCCGACCAGCGTCGGTTGATAGTTGGCTTGGCAAAAAACTTTAAGACCGGTCGTTGTGTGTTTAGTTTATGATGTTTGCCTCTATGAAGGGTTTTTTTCTATGGAGTTCGTATAGAACAAATAGCTGTATTGCCTAGAATCGTAGTTCGTCATTGTCTGTCTATTGCAGCTCATCGTCTAATGTTAATTTGAGTGTATTTACGTGTGTTCAGGAGACACTCAGAGGACCACTCCAGCTAAGACTAATCTCTGACTGTTTTTTCCTAGGTTTACGCTTCTAGAGGGTGGCTGACTGAAAATCACGGTGAGCTTGGATTGGTGCTGATGTTTGTTATCTTCCAGACTAGGCTAGTCGCTTTTGTTTACAGCGCCAGATTTCAAACATTTTGTCATGAGAATTGTTTTTTGTCAACCTGTCCGTGTTCTGTTCGGTCGTATATGGTCTTACACGGGTTGTCTTTGATTACGCCACGCCTAGTTGCAGGAACGTGGTTGGGGAGAGCAGTAGGGTTAACTTCGTCAATATGCGTTCTGGAAGTGTTAGATGAGTTTTTTCTCTTGTCCTCGTGGGAAGCTATTCGTACAGTCTGTAGAAAATATTTAGGTGTTAAAATGAATCAATTTAGATTCGCTCTAGATGGTTGCACGGTACACACTATGCAGTCCCATCAAAAGCGAGTCGCACGTTAACGGATCAACCGCTGTTGTCATGCCACACACTGAGCGGAACTCAAAAAATAGTGTTCAGTGTCAGGACTCTGTAGAACAACTCAGTTAGTGAGTTGAATCGAAAACCGATTTGTTTGCTACCTCTGTTATGTTCCAAAAAGCCCATCTCACGCTTATTTCGCGTAATAACAGATAAGGACAGCAATCAGTTGTTGCAGAATTTGTTACCACAGAAATTCCTAAAGGATTTAATGAAGTCTACTTTGTTGCTTCATGTTGCGTTGAATGCCTTGTCGTACTTTCACAGGCGTGTGCCATGGATCAGTCTTTTATGCTGTGTGAGTGCCAATTAACCCCGTCCAGATGGTTGCTGTAACCACCAACATGGTTATTACCGTGGGTAGAGCTCTAGTCATTTCAAGTCAGTGCTACACTGCAGTGCAACCATGGGTTTTCTGTTGGTTTTTACCATCTTAACGTTAATCTGGTTTTAACGAGAGACTCAGATAAATCCAGCTGGATTTCTCGTGTATGATTTTCTTCAATTCAGTGTGCTGCACAAAACCGCCTCCTGTTTCAGTTAACACTCTATTATGTATTATAGGTGCTTCACTGCCATAGTAGTAGAAGTGAATGACATGTCTTAAACCATCACTAGCCAAGTTGTTTCATTCAACTGTAACACTTTTTCGGTAACTAGCTGCCATGCTACCCCGAAGGAAGCACGAGGGCTGAGATACTGCCAGGTTGCCCAAGCCTAGACAGGGGAAGCTGAGAGGCAGAGGTCGGGTTTGAACCTTCGGACCTTCCGGTCAGTAGATTCACGCTCTAACCACTGGAGCCATCTCGCCCCCAGCTGGCTTGTTTACACGGAACTGAAACCTACTGCCTGCCGTAAAACGAATTTCGAAGCTTCCCACTAAATGACCGACTAAGCTCTTTTCCTCATCTCTTCTCATTGGTCAAACCAAACGCTCGTCAAGCAGGCATCATTTTCAAATATCATTAGGCGTAGAGAAAACTGTAGCTTTCGGCATCCACTACAGATCAGAGCGCAAGTTGTGGTATTACAAGACTGAATAGACTTCAGATAGTTTGTTGCTAGTTATGCCGGTTAACTGAGTGCTGAACGAATGTTTTTTAATTCAAGAATTTCTGTTTTCATCGAATTTTCCTCTTTTCGAAACGATTTTCAC